TTATTATATGTCGAAACAATATAATACTTTACTCAGGTCTTATAGTAAGTGTCCAGCATTTGAAGGTGCGGTGATCCTTATAGTACAACAAACTTAGACAATTTAGTTTAGTTGCAATCTCAAATTTGCCAATCCTGGTAGTAGAACCTGCAATTTGTCATTTTGTTGTATAAATTGAACATGCATGTTGCCATTATCCAATAAACAGTTCAAAAACTGTAATGCCTGTTAAAGCATTCAGAAATTTGCTCATACATTTAACCTAACAATGAAAACAGCGTCGAGACATTAACATTATTAAATTTCAACCATAAACTGAATTCAATGCAAAATACCCTTAAACAATTCAAGATTGAAACGTTTTTGTAATTCGTCATATAAAAACACAACGTTGTCGAGATAATAGTGATTTAATGTCTTGCCACTTAATGAAATGAAATATTAGTTTCTTTTCTGTTTGGAAGTATCAATTCGTTAAAATAACAATTTAAAACAAAACTTCTGTAAGTCAACAAGGTACTTAAGGAAATGGAAATCTTAATGACAGAAAATAAATAATAGTTCTTCCATTTACTTTGTTTATCAACGAAAAACAGTTTTATATTTGCTGAAATATTTGTACTTTGGTCTTTTGTAGATAATGTCTATATTGGCAATCATACTACATCTCCATATTTTTATATTTGTTATATGTATTTGAAATATTGCGTTCTCTAATGATTGTTTCTTCGTTGCATGATTTTGCTGTTTATAATATAGGTCGATGATTAACCATCCGTATCATGTTCTCTTATACCTTTAACTCGGTTGACATACGATATAATAGCCTTCTGGAAAGACATTTTTAAAAAGAGATCAAAATTTATAAAAGCATCAATAAAGAATATGTGAAAATGAGAAAAATCGCATGTATTTTATTGATATGTCTGATATGGTGAAAATCATCTGTTCGACACAAGATGCACCCTTTATGAACTCGACAAAAAGCTTCATATTGTGAATCGCAGCTGATATTTTACATATCCAAGATGCAGAAAATCCGATAATCGATACAACATGTGCCGTGGATATGTCATATGTTACAAGTCGTCGTGTTGGTGTATAACACATTAAGCAATCCTGCCAATCTTAGGATTATGTGTGCCTAGACTTTACAAATATCACGGATAAGACATAAAATGGCATGACGTATGATGGAATTTACCTGATAGAACTCATCAGAACTTTGGGACGAGCTACACAAATAATATATTTATATTATCGAAACGGTGTATTAAAGAGTATAACAAAAATACCGAGCTTCAATGTAAATTCAAAATAGGAAGTCCATAAAAATTGACAAAATCAAACGTTAAGACTTTATCAACCAACAGTCCGAATGGAAAACAACTGTAATATTCCTGACTTGGTACAGTCAGGCATATCTCAAAGAAAATGGTGGGTTTAACCTGGTTTTACAGCTAGCTGAACCTCCCACTTGTATGACAGTTTTTTTATTGTTCCGTTATATTGACTAAATTGGGTGAGCAACTGACATAATAGATTAACGTGACAATAATTGGTTACCTGTGTTCATATACATCACAGACATAAAACACAACTGACTAAAACAAAATTCAAACGAACATGCATACAAATTAATCTAGCAAACTAATCTAACAAAGACGCCATCAAAAATGTTTTTGTAGCTGATAGCTAAATTGTATTATATTAAGATTTTGTCTTTGGCAATTCATAAGAGTTGTTATAGTAAAATTATGAATTGCCAAAGACAAAATTTTAATATAACAAGAGTATGACTCTCCTATAAAAATCTAAATGGTTTTATTGTTGTACGATGGGTTACAAAAACAAACCTGGAGAAAATTCTCTTATCGACATACTTATAAGGATTCGGTCATAAAAGTTAACTTTACTCAGTTGTCGGGGGACCAAACATTCAAGCTCGAAACGCCAAATACAATATTTTAATTTATTAAGTCGGAGTACGATACTCGTTCTTAATTATTTTATGAATGTAAGGCGAGATCTCATATACAGATATGTTGTTGTTTAATAGTTGTATGATAGGTGATCTAAAGAAAGCTAGAGATAATGTTATGACTTTTATGCAGCTGAATTCCTCTTTTTTTCAGCGTCGTTTTGATCCTTTTTAATGTTTTGTTTTTTGTTTTTCATACAGCTCTGATTTCGTTCATAAATCTTACCCTCTGGACTGTGCATAATTTATTTATCGCTACTCTGTCAGAAATTTAAGGTCACATTTAAATGACAAAATTGCCAAATAAAATTTGCTTAGATAAAGATAATATATAACAAATTACAATAATTCCAAAATTATAAACAATTTTTATTTGATTAAACAACTCTAATTTATCTTATTTACGACTGTCCTTCGTTAGGATATGACTGAAATCATTATCACTAATTTAAAACATTTTTTCAATTTAAACGATAATGTCATTTAAGATGACCTTTCAGGGTTCAAACATATACAATAAATCAGATGAACGAATTGTGACCTCAAGAGTTTTTTTGAGGGAGGTTGTTGTCGTTGTTCGTCCGATTGACATTTTGCAACATATCATTTTATTCACAATATCAAGGTCGTTATAAATATTTTTCTGTTTTGAACATGGCGAATGATGAAAACTAAATCAAACTAAAGCACTAGCTGTAACTTATTGTTATCTCATTGGCGTTTATCCTGCATTTCCTTGTATAATCATATCTTTAAAAAGACAAATCATTCTCTCTTCCCACACAGCCCTTGTAGTTTGAGTTCAAACTATAATGGATATATAACTTGAACGCTATATGTACAAATCAATTGAATTCATACACTCATTTTGAACCATTGGTATACTATCGTTAACAAGGACATACGTTGTTGGCTATAGCTGTTGTGATTTACTAAGTACATATAGTTGTTGTCTTTGGTTGCTGTATGCAACATTTGTTTTCGTTCATTGGTGTAAGATAACTCAGACACTGGTTTGTTTAATTGTTTCATATTATGTTCACCAAGTGTTTGGAGGGCTTCATGTTGCTTAGTCTTTAGTTTCTATGTAATGGTGTGTACTTGTTTGTCCTTTCACCGTTTTTCGGGGTTTATTGCCATGGTGTTGTCATTTTATCTGAAATTTTGAGTTTTGAATGTCCCTTTGATATCTTCTGCCTCTTTTTATGTCATACCATGCTCTTTATAGCTTACTGTATAAGGTGTAGGTTTTAAAAGCTTATTATTGAAGGCCTTACGATGACTTGCTATTCCTATAGTCTATTGATAGCTGTCTCATTGGCAATCATGCTACATGTACATCTTTTTGTTCTAATACTACTACTAATTGAAAATTGCTCAGTTTGCGCTTTTATTTTGTAGATTATCGAATTGAATAATCCATCTGTAGCAGCTAAGAGAACGGAGCAAACCTATAAATAAACTAATGCTACAAGTATATTGTCACTTCTACATAATAGTTAAATCATTAACCATCCCAACTGACATAATGGACATATAATTGATTTTTATAGCATGCTGTCTCCCTCTGGTCATGTCTATATATATATTTGTAGCTTTCCATTTCTCGAGTTTAATGGTCGAGTTGCAGCATTCTGTCGAGTGTAAAATTATTTAATTCTTCTCCCAATAGAAACTCCAGCACATCCACGTGCTTGCTTTTGATAAATGTGTTCATATATATACACAATAGTCTGCCCAGCGCAAATATTGGTGAAATGTATACTGTAACCAGTTCCGTAATGACAATTTACAAAGACGTCTTGTAAAAGACATTAAATCAAACACTATAAACAAGGCTTGGAGATGTCTTTCAGTTAAAGAAAGCTTAACAAAAACAATTATGGGTTAAGAATTAGAGAAAGAATTATTTACACCCTATATTCACTTTAAATCATTTACGATAAATAATATAAATGGATTTGCTGATAGATGATCTAAATATACAATGAGAACATATCGTGTTTACTTGGTAAATTATCATTTTCGTTTAACATTTTATATTTTCAACAAATTCTAAAAAGTTTTGTATCTTATTTTGAGGAAAAAATCTTCGGAAGTTACTAACTGCAACCCAGGAATGGTATCGTTATGATGAAAAGAATCGCATTAATAAAGATTATTTTATTCACTTTTATACGTTATATTAAAGGATCTCATAATTATGAGATGATGTTTTCGGACGACCAGTGGCGTAAAATCAGTTTAACCCTACCACGATTTTTTTTTCTTGTACAAAAACTGTGTTGACATGAATAAGTGGAAATTTAATGTTAATTTTGTTTGACTTAAATGGAAGAGCAGTTTGGTTGCATGCGTCAGATACTTTACTACAATTCCGTTTTTTTAACGAAAATATTTGAAATAGTTTGAAATTTCACGCTTGACTTCAAAAGACGAATATGAGAAGGAACACAGAACCTTACTTCATTTATTTTTTATATTTTTTTAAATTTATTTGTTATAAAAATAACCTAGATTTTCAAAATTCATTAAGTTGAGAGAATTCTCATGTCATGTTCTGATTAAATTGTAATCATGTCTAGATTGTGTGACGTATCTTCTTTGCTTTTCATTTGTAATTTGTTAAGATCAACATAATCTTGTAGATTTCAGCGCTCTATCATCAGTGGTATGTGGCTTTATTCCAGTACAATTTATAAATTTTATGTAAAGTTTGCATTCTTCCAATGTTTTTGTGACATTTATCTAGACAAAACACTTTTTCCAATCCATGTGTCGGGTTGTGATAGTGATGGCGTGAGAATTTGTCACTTCTGACAGATGGGATGCCTACATTAGAGAATTTTCTGCTTGGTTCTGTGACAAAATTGGTTATTTAATCTGATAAATACTCCTCATTCTGATATGAATGAGGTATAAGCAGTAGCGAAAAATTCCATCATCACTTCTTCTAGTCCGTTATAGTAGCAAATTATTTTCAATATAAATCTATAATGATGCAATTTGTCCTTTTCAGAGAACAGGATAATGGTGTAGTAACAGTTTATTGTTGATGGGTTTATAAGTCACATTATGGAGCTGATTGATAGCACTAATGATATTTGTTGGGATATTACAATAATAACGCACCAGTAATGGACGGAGGATGGCGACATCTTTCATCGTACAACGCTCTGGCCGAGAACATTGGAAATTGATACAGATTACAGTGTTTTTTAACTGTATTTGCATACTACATGGCACAGCTGTGACTCAATCAGTACGATCGGCAACGATACCGGGGAGATTTCTTTTTGGTGGACTTTTTCCTGTTCATCAGAAGGGTGTAGACGGAACTTGTGGTGCGATTAATCCTGACCGTGGTATTCAAAGGTTAGAAGCCATGCTCTTTACTTTGGATGAAATAAATTTAGATCAAAACATTCTTCCTGGAATTCGAATCGGAACCGAAATATTTGACACGTGTGCAAGGGAAACAATTGCATTAGATAGATCGTTGGAGTTTATACGCGGAACTTTTACATCTCTTGATGCTTCCGACTTCCGGTGTGAAGATGGATCCCTTGCAAAGGCAAATAAAACACCTAAAGCTATAGCAGGTGTTATCGGTGGTTCGTATAGCTCTGTTTCTGAGCAAGTTGCGAATTTATTACGGTTATTCAAAATCCCACAAATAAGTTATGCATCCACAAGTGCAAGATTAAGTGATAAAAAGCGTTATGACTATTTCATTAGAACAGTCCCACCAGATAATTTTCAAGCCAAGGCTATGGTTGACATTGTGTCAAAGTTCAATTGGACATACGTATCCACAGTGGCATCAGAAGGAGAATACGGAGTTTCCGGTATTGAAGCATTTGTAGAGGAAGCTAATGCGAGGAATATTTGCATTTCAGAGTCAATCAAAATAAATTCCAATGCTAATAAGAATTCGTATATTGAAGCAGTTCAAAAATTAGCAGCCTCACCTGAAAATGCCAAAGTTATCATCTTATTCCTTAGACAGGAAGATGCAAAAGGTATTTTAAGAGCTGTTCATGAGAAAAATATGTATGGTCGGTTTTATTGGATAGCCGCTGACGGTTGGGGTCAGCAAACTGCTGCTGTGGCAGATCATGAAAGAGCGGCTGAAGGAGCATTGACTTTAGAATTACAATCTACTTTTCTACCAGAATTCGACAAGTACTTCTTTAAATTAAACCCACAGGACAATAAAAGAAATCCTTGGTTTAGGGAATACTGGGCAAAAGTTCATAAGTGTAGTTGGCCTAATGTTACCCATCCTATAACTAATCCGTTGGCCAAGTTTTGCACTGGAAAAGAACAATTGTCACTTTCTGTGTACAAGCAGGAGAGTAAAGTCCAATTTATTTATAATGCAGTGTATGCATTAGCAATAGCCTTGCACAATATGTATGCGGATGTCTGTGGAAATAGGACGGAGAAGGCAGAGTTGTGTGCTGAAATGACAAAACTGAATGGAGAAACACTATTAAAGTTATATTTGTTAAACACATCATTTATAGGTGAGTAATAACTAAAGTAAACCCAATGACAGGACCTGGTCCAGTTTTTTTTTCAGATAAATACCAAAATATTTTTGACGAGTGTAGCAAAATACGACACTGAATGTATGTTTTCTTTTATAAATCCCTTAAAGGTTATACTGCAAGATATCTACTCTAAAGTGGGCAAATTGCATGTCTATATTCAAGTTACAATTAGTATTCACGATTGAATTAATTCATACATACCATGGTGGGGCAAGCAAACGTAGAATAATTCATTGGAAAAGAAAAGGACATTGAGTGGGTGTATCTGAGAAGATAATCTTTTAAAGTACATACGAGGAAATAACTGTAATAGATCAAAGAATATTGCTTTTATTGTTAATCCTAACAGTTGTGCTTGGAACACGATCTTAAAACATATGATCTGAAAATTAACCTATTTAGTGCTTAACTCTATCGTGACATCTTTTACAGAGTCTGAATGTCGGGTGATACATGCTTATCAGGAGACGCTTGCTCTGTCGATGCACCTGGTATTGATCCACTTTAATTGTATTCGAGTTCCTCAGGTTTTGTTGTTTATATTACAAATGGGTTTTAGAGTTTAGAACATTTATTAACTTCTGTTGGCTGTTACGTAAAATACGAACTACAATAAGCCTACAATAAGATCAGAAGACGGCCGCTTAGTGCTGTTCTTTGAAGTTCATGTATAACCGCTACATATATGCCTTTGGAGAAGAAACAAATATTTTGAGCATGTATTAGGGACTAATATAATATATGCTATGGTTCATAGTATTTAAGAGAGAAAATTCTGGTAGTTGTATTTGACAAAACGGATATATTTGAAGAAGGTCGAACCTTAATTATTTTATTTTTTTAACAAATTACAGTTGAATATTCTAATAATGAGTCGAGGTTTAAAAAGTTGATATACGAGAATTTTCATTTGGCCCAAGAAAAAAATTTGTCATAAGAACAGATACATGTATATCCTCATCCTTTTGTGGATCGTTGTCTTATTGGCATCATAGTACATCTCTGTATTTAGATATGTTATGCATTAATAGATCTTCTTCACAAATGTTTGATTGATATAAATTTAATGTAAATATATCCTTTTCCATACTTGGATGCAGATTGACGTGTTCTGTAAGGGTACAAAATCTCACAAAAATCCGAAAAAAACACCCAAATAAGTTTACATTTTGTACCTTGCGTTGAGAGTTGTTTGCAAGCATAAATGATTTTGAAACAGATTTTGACTGTTGGCCAGTGAGTCTTTGAATCCATTGCCAGACGAGAAAATGGACCTTTTATTAGAAGATATGTCATACTATTCTTCTTCTTCTTCGGTGGCTGAGTGGTCTACGTAGTCGAACTACTGTATCACTAGCCTAGCAACACTGAGTGTGTTAGTTCGAATCCCGCCCGTGTCAGGTGTGCTCGAATCCAATCTTAATTGACTAGGATTGTTAGTTTTCCTACCGAAGGTTAGTAGTCTCAGGGCACTTAACTGGCTTCCTACACCAATAAAAACTGACCGCCACGAAATAGCACAATAGTGCTGAAAGTGGCGTTAAACAACAATCAATCAACCAATATTCTTCTTCTCACTGGCCACATTCAACATGTTCAATATTCTGGCAAGTTGTGCATGGTTACTGGTTAAAAACAAAATTGTTGAATATAGTAAATTAGTAGTGTTGGTTATTTGAAACTTCAATGTCACATGTAACTTTGCTGTGGCGATATTCGGAGGTAATTGGTACTATCCTTCTCCTTTTCCCAAAGACAAGGAAAGCCAAAATTAATAAAATACACAAATTGCCAAATTCCTCCCCCTTTTCACTTGAGTCCTTTTGTCTTAAAACTTCGTATCTTCATTATCCGAAATTAGCATATCTAATCAATTTTTATATTGATTGAAGCTATTTAATTTCTTTTATCTAGCCAAGTAAATTTATCCAATCCATGATATATGATCACTATTTTTACAACATCTCGATATCGGTAATTTAATTACTGATTCGTACTAGGTTTGTTGACATTAGACTAATGGCAGATAACATTTCTTGTTGTGAATCAAATTGTCGGTTTATTTTATTTTTTTTAACTCTTTATGACTCAAACATTAAAATTAGTGTGTTGCAAACAAATTCCGTTATTAAAATTGGAATCCACAAATGGGGTGCCTACAACGTTGTAATTAAATGTCATGCGCAAAATTAGACGGGGAAGCCACCTGAAATTATTCTCAGCTGCTTTAAGTACTGTGGTATTAGGTGGAGAGAGAGAGAGAGAGAGAGAGAGAGAGAGAGAGAGAGAGAGACTTCCCAAATCAAACAACCAAACATCATAACCTTCTTTCAGTCTAACAACTTTGCAGAACTTACAAACTGATCCATGTTCTCATAACCCACGTTTCTGTAATAACCTGCGTCAGCTTAGCTCAAGCCAAGTGTCTGCAGGGCCCGTATGTACAATACTACTCAAGTTAAGATTTTCCTTTGTAAACAATTAAGTTAAGGAAACTCGGCCCTTTTTACCTCAGTGGTATGCATAAAAATCTTAAACTAAGTATCAGTCGAAAGGATGCTTTTGTGCAGAACATGGATAGATTAGTTACTATTTAATTGTATAATAATTATATCAGATGAGTGATATTTTGTGTCATTATTTCTAAGTATCAACAATTATTGTAATTATCTTAAAATCACGTATAATCACCAAATCAAGCGATAACAGAGGATAGTTATATTAATTTCGATATTTTTTCTTTTGATTCCTCTGTTCGTGCATGTTTACACAAATAACATTGAACTTTTATATTATTAAAATACACCCCCTGGTATCAATTGTTTTGTACAAAACAGTATGAGGGGAGCGATGAGGATCTTCAGGTATGATACATCCTGTTTTCTCGGGGAGGGGGCAGTATCTTATATAACTTTCAAGTGAAACACTTAAATACGCTAAGATGGTGATAATACGTTACAGTAAACATATGAATTGGGAAATGTGTGTTTTAGTTAAGATTGAAGGACTTTCTGAAAAATACCATCGTTTTGATATGAATTCATGTATAATTGAACTTACCCTCTTTTTATTATTGTTTATAGTAAATATTAAATATAAATAGATTTTAAAAAATCTTGATCATGTTTGATAGAGTTGAAAAGTATATGGTTAAACAAAAAAACAAAACCATGCCCCTCCATCCAGCAACACACATGAGTGGTCGGTGCCTTCGAGATGGGATGAATCTGTTTGCTAAATACAATGATTTGGAACCCTTTATCAGAATATGATTTTACTAACATATACCATTATAAAGCTGGATAATATGCTACAAGATAATGTTGAGTATCCGCTTAGCGACTCCTCATGCGAGTGACGGTTTTGTTTGCTATTTAAAAAACTCCTAGTGGATAATTTAGAACTATTTTGATATTTTAGATTTATCAATCCATGCATAAGTTGTCCCACTTCTTTTGGATCTTTTAAGAATCTCTCCTTATGGAATTTTCTGTACTTATTAGATTGTGATATATTTGTTTTTTCTTTCCATACTTAAGGGTGGCTGGGAATAGAAATACGGTCATTTTGGTCTTCTGACGACCGGCAGTAAAACCCTTGCGAAAGTGGGGCGTCCGTTTGGCTGTGTGCGATGTATAAGTTCGCAGCCACGTCCGGTCAGAATGGGGACGTTTAATCCGATGCCGATGTAAAAAGAGTGCATGTTGCAATGCAAAATTTGATCCCTATCCAATATACCTTCTTTTTTCAGTGGCAGTCCAAATTTCCCCGACCTTCAACCCGTATAGCCTCTTACAGGATCCAACTATATATATCGAATTTATTGTTAATTTGTTCTCGTCCTTAACATGCATGAAATATTTACCACTGGGCGTTAAGCATCAATAAATCAATCAATTTCATTCCAAGAACCTTTCGTCTCTCCTGTAGTAACAGGAGGGGGAAGTTTTGCATTACAAATATATTTTTCTTCCCAGGCTCGATCATCAAAACAACCTTTCTTCTCTTATGCGCCAATTTGGAATTCGTTTTGATATTTTAGTTGGTTACGTATTCTTAATTGTTTTACACACGAACACCAATTGAACCCCAGTTCTTAATAAAAGTATGTATTGTTCAATCAATGTAAATATATCATACGGTAGTTAGAAAAAGGTTCCGATTTAAGTATTGATTAGTTAAGTGAAGACTCAAGTAATTTTATGCATACGACTTAAGAATTTTACTGAACTAAGGGAATTCTTAGTGAAATCTAAGTTTAAGGAACACTTAAGATGTTTTATGCACACGGGCCCTAGTCCAAATCGTCGAATAATAGCGTAGAACGAGATATATGCAATCTTAGTTTTAGAACTACTAAATGATTTATAAGGTTCAAGTAAAATTTCAATCTTTCTAGTACTGAAGCCCCTTCTACTGGGCGGATAATACCAATGCAGACTGACATCCCTCTAGCAGCGAAATCGATTGTTCAATAGGTACGCTCGACTCCAAAAGTGTGTAAAGCAATATAATAATGCAATATCATTAATGCAGATACAAATCAAAGAGGGCTTAAACAGAACTGGCATGGCTATCTACATACATGAAGTCAAATTTACTTGAAGTATTATCAAACTTAATTTTTAAATAATACAATTATATTATTTATAAAGTTAAGTGAAAATTAACAATTTAACCATTCACCATTCCAGTAGGGAAGCACTTTTTAATTGTTTATTTGTACCATCAAGAATTGACAGTCTAGCTAGTAATAAAATTTGTAGTACCGATTTGAAATGACGAAATGAACAGACAATTAAGCATAAACAGACAAGATTGTAGCTAATGGAAGATCTTTATTTAGAGAGGCTTACGTATTGCAATTATTGTAAGCTTTGATAATTCCTGGTTTTGCTAGTGAAAAAGACGTCACAAGCATATGTTATTTGCAATTAAAGTTTACACGTGTGTAATTCTGCGTCATCTGATTT